GATTAGCGATTCTAATGAATCGTGTTCTCCACAATAGTAAGAGTAGCGAGGATGAAAAGGAGGGATTTTTTCAAGAAATTCCATGTCCGTCGTGGAATTTGCCGGAGAAGGTACTCGTATGTCGTTCTTAACGTCCACGGTCTCGATGGAGCCCGCGGGTGAGAAGGGGCGAGTTTGTCTGGGGAAATAGGAGCTGGGGAATAGGAAGGAAAGTAAGAGGGCGAAGGAAATGTTGATGAGAGGGTTGGCGAGGGAGAGTCTGGGAAAATTCTATAAGTTAAAACAGATGATGGTGAGTGAGGACGAGAGGGAATTTCTTCGGGAGATGGGGGAGGAAAGTTTGCCGGAAGAGCGGCTGGTGACGGAGAGTCAGCAACCTTCGGGTTCTCCGGTTTCACTGTCGAATCCTCCAAGGAGTTTAGCCATTCCTGGTAGGCCTGATCTAGAAGTCTCCGTGGTTCTTGCCTTCGGCGACGACGAGCTGATCGCGAGTCGCGGGGCCGCGGTGGAAAATTCAAATTTAGTCCGCGGCGCACTAAAGACAAGACTGATTAGAGACAAGTCACTATCTGAGCCCGGTTTAAATTGTAAAAGGTGACGATTTACTACTTGTTGATTGGAATTGAGAGAGAGCTGTGAAGGCTGGCGGGACCCTATGTCAGGTAGGAGCCAGGCTCTCGAGAGCTGATTGATCGGGGCTTCCTGTCTCTCCAGGAAGATTAATGGAGTGATCCTCGGCACTCGATTGTTAACGCGCGCACAGACTCTAAGTTCTTATGCGCTCCTTGGCAGCGTAACGACGGTTAAAGTGTCAGGGGGACAATCTGTTAAATAGCGAATACTAAATGCCGAATGGTGAATGCTAACTTCTGAATGCTGAATGCTGAATGCCGAGCATCGAGTCTTGAATTCTGAATTTTGAGTGTGTCGCGAGACGTCTAGAGAAGCCCTATATTGTATACTCAGGAGCCCGGTCCAGCTCCTTTGTTTTTCGGGAGGTGCGATTTCAGAAAAAGGGTTATCGCGGTGACTCTCATCTAGAGTGGACATTGCTCCCTTCAGATCCGGGAGCCGGCGAGTTTCGTGCGGCGTTGACAGCCGATAGATAAAACCCTCGCCTAGTTTGGTGCGTGCCAAATTTATTAACAAATTTTATCTTTTGGGACCGGAAGGGTTTCTTTTCCAAGAATTCACACGTTTGAACTAGGCGACTATCTTTTCTATTTACTTAATTGTAGGGCAATGAGGTTATATCGACAAAAGATTTTTCTAATTGATGGCTCCCGCACGTGCACTTCTCAGAACGCAGGAAATCTTAAATCTAGTATTTAATAAAAATAGTTGCCGCTAAGATCGGCTTGCCGCTTCCAGAACTTTCCACGAAAGAAAAGAATCATGAAGTCCTCAGGACGTAACATTATATATCCATTCAATGGATTGACAACGATATGGATTAGAATGTAATGAATTCAAATTGGAAATAATCCGCAAAAGTAATATTAAAATCAATTATAATTCGTTCGGAATTAAAACCGGTTACTTTTTGATCCGGGCGCGAATTGAACCAATTAAAATCGATTAAAATCGATTAAAATGGATTATGTTTTAATCGAACATTTTCAGCAGGGTACCTCCGTCGATCACTTATCGACGGGGTGCGCGGAAGAAGGATCACACTTGGATCATGTACTCCTAGTCGAAATTGTGGAGCTAAGCGCCAGAGGCGGAACTTTGGCCTAGGGATGCCAGGAAAACCTTTAACAGCCACTGGCTGCAAGTAGAGGGAGTAGGCTGGCAGCCGCGATGGCTTAAGTGGTTGGCTGCTGGCGGCTGCAGCCTACCCTCTCCACTTGCAGTCAGTGGCTGTTAAAGAATTTCCTGGCATCCCTGCTTTGGCCCCGAATGTAGTGACGAGGCAGGGGCGTATCGTTACAAATTTAATATTTTTATTTAAATATTTCAAAATGATTCTTACGTAACTTTAATGCTATCCAAAAACATATTAATATTGCTATGTAATGCGCCACTTAAAATATAATTTTTGCATAAAACATTTATCTAAAAAATGCTTTGTTTACAAGATATTTGATTATATTAAAATTTTTTGTCCATTTCTGTATATGTTTACATATATACTTATTCTTTGATACTAATAATAAATACTATTAAGTGCAAATACTACCAAGTAAAGTATATTTCACTATTATGATATGGAAGGAATTAGTATAAACATCATATTAGTATAAAAGTGCATGTAAAGAAATGTCAAAATTAAAGTATTCAAATTTTAAGAAACTCTACTGTGGTATTGCTGTTACTAAACAATTGAAAAAAATCACAAAGAGTAATTCAGATAACACGCTTGTCTAAATTTGGGACATAAAATATCTTAAAGACATCTTAAAGACACGATGTCTTATGATGTCCAAAAGAAGGCTTATGTCCCGATTTTAGACATGGTACTGTCTAGGTGATTGATAATATAAATTTATATTTATTCTATTAATTCCATAGAAGAATGTACATTTTTCGTAAAAGGACATGGAATTGGACGACGATTATATGTTTTACCAGAATATCGTACAGAAGGCTTACATTTTTCATTGAAAGCATGGGAACCTGATCAGCCGGATTCCATAACATTTGTATTCACTGCTGATGATGGATTAAAATCTCGTTATATTCTTAAGATTGGAGCTTTAGATAATGAGAAAGTACTTCTCTATTATCAATCGGAAGAAAAAGGTAATTTGAAATCATGTAATAATAAAAAAAACTTTGTTTATAAATTATAATCTCTTTTTCAACGATTTATTAGATATAATTTTGGTAAAAAAAAAAACATTACCACATTTATTATATCTTGGAAAATGGAGTAGCTTTGTTATTCGCATACCTCGAGGACATGTTCTTCTTTATTATGAAGGAGCATCAAATCCACTGTTTGAATGGAAACATCCTGAACCAGCCAAAGCGTTTTTACCAATTTATTATTATTATAATAGCGAGAAAGGACATGCAATAGGAGTTGCTTTTGATTGTGCTTCAAGTATATTTAAAATAATTACTCACTCACTTATATACTTTTAAAAAGTTTTTATTTTTTCATTATCTTTTGTTTTACTGTCATATAGGATGCCATATAGAGAACACACAAACCGATCGTTATACTAGAATACTACCACTATCAACGTGGTCCAAAGAAGATATAGTCAGACCCAATAAACTAATGTTAATGATCCGTGCCAAAGGTGTGGTTTTAATACCATTACTTTTACTACCTGCAACACCAGGGTAAATAAAAATAATTATAAATTAAATAAATAAGAAGGCCAAGAAATAAGCACACAATAAAAAAGATGTAAAATTTAAAACTTTAATAAAGTCATAAAATTAAATTCTAGAACGTTTCAGAAATAATTATTTTGCAGATCTTTTATTTTTTTTTATAGTATGTTATATTTTTATAGTATGTTATATTTTACAGATTTTATGTGCTTACACTGGGTAAACAAGGTCAATGGATATATTTTCTAAAAAATACATATCCCAGAGTAAGAATTTATCACAAACAGAAAGTACTCAAGCCTATATTTAATACGAATTACTGGACAAATATTACCATAAAGTAATCTAATTAAAAAAATAATATTCCATTGAATTTAGTTTAAATGTATATTAATTAAATTTAACTTATTTATAATCTTTTATGATTTTATTGGAAAGATGGTCTGAAAATACAATCCAAATATTTTGCAATGAGACAAACGTATTTTATTATATGCATCGTCAACCGCTCATCTTTTATTTTTTTTCGCTTGCTGTGGATTTGAAAGGTTGGGCCACTTGGAGTGCGAATTGTATACCATCAGGTACAATGTAAAAAAATAACTGAAATTTTGAAAAAAAAAGTTAAACAAATTTATGTTTTAGTATAATTTATTGATATAATAATGTTTACACAATAATATTATTATCCATCAATGTTTTTTGTAACTTCATTTATTATAAAGTATCAAAAATAATAATCAATTATGTATCGTGTTGAAATTGTATTTTACTGTTTAATTATTTAATTAAATGTAGATATAGATGGACCACCCTTAGATGGCGGTTGGTCAGAATGGGGACCATGGCTGTGCAGTGTTAGTTGCAATGGTGGCATAGGAACTAGAAGACGATATTGTAATTCACCAGAACCTAACGTAAGGGGTGAACCTTGTATAGGACCCAGTAGCATGACAGGTCATTGTAATACGATCCTTTGCGGTGATATAACTGATGGTATGTTGATAAAGATCATTATTATTTATTTACCAATATTTAAATAGCAAATTTGATCACGATTTTAAAAAAGAATAAGTAGATTCCTATCTAGTCGTAATATAACATCAGAATTGCTGCAAAAATGGACTATATCTTATCATTATGATAATACCAATAGAAAAACAGCAAACTGTGCTCAGCCGCTGCCAGAGTTTATCTAACACAATATACAACATATTTGAAATAAATGCTTTTGACAGGTTTGCCCATTTGGATATTTAATAATGTTTCTATTTTTTCACAAACTAACATTTAGTTTTATAAATATTTTACCAAATATTTTAATACTTGTATTTTATATTTAAGGAACGTATTTTATTTTTCATATTAATCTCTTTTGTAGGATTTAATAAGAAATCAATAATTTATAGATAAATTATAGATAATAACTCAAACAATATATATTTATATTAATAATATGTATTTATATTAGAAACAATTTTCTAGATTGCCATAAAATATACAGTGTCCAAAAAGTCCCAGGACACCTGAATATCATAAAAAATATCAGTTTTACAGAAAAGTGTTTCAGACAAAAGTTGTAGGGTTCAAAAGGATCTATTTATTAATCTTATTGGTTTGACCTTGGGTGGCGCCAAAGACAGGGTAAGATCACTTTAAATTTTTTAAATGGAACTTCTCATTTTTTATTGCCGGTGGTACTGCAACTTTCAAGCTTTATAACTCAAGATTTAATAAAAAAATATTTTATCTATGTGCTTTGGAAAGCTCTCAAGATAAGCTACAAGAATATGCAATGAAAAATAGGAGGTTCCATTAAAAAAATTTAAAGTAATCTTACCCTTTGGCGACGACACCCAAGGTCAAACCAACAAAATCAATAAATAAATCTTTTTGAACCCTACAACTTTTGTCTGAAAATTTTTCTGTAAAACTTATATTTTCCATGATATCCAGGTGTCCCGGGACTTTTTGGACTGCACTGTATATATTTATTGTTTTACGTTACAATTAAGTTATCCTGGTAAAAAACTATCAAATTGTTTATTTTACATAATTATTTTCTAGCAATAAGTGTTGATTTTTTGCTTTTCACATTTTTGTATATTCTTTTTATTTTTATAAGAAATATAAGATTTTTTTGTTTTTTGTATTTTATATTTCTTTTGGTTTTTTGAAATTTTTAAATATTTTTTCTTCAATTTTGTTAACTTCTCATTGTCAATTCTTGAAAGTTTGTACAGTAATAGGACGCCAAAAATTTTCTGAACAAAAAAAATATCGTATGCACTTTGATCGTACACGCCAAGCATTAAAAAATTGCAATGTCATGACAGGCGTCACAAATAGGATTACAATTTTGAAAGTAAAAATTTACAGGAGTCTTGCATTTAGACAGTTTCTTTAATGTAGTCACTTTTGTAAATTTTTTTGATCCAGAAAATTCTAAGTGTTCTTATTCAAACATTTAGTTAACATCTCATTTCAAGAATTGACAATGAGATGTTAACAAAATTGAAGAAAAAATGTTAAAAAATTTCAAAAGCCAAAAAAATATAAAATACAAAAAATAGAAAATTTTTATGTTTCTTGTTGTAAGTCTCGCCTTGACGTACTTACAACGTCACACTTAGAAATAAGCAGGTCACTGTTGCAATCTATTATTGCAACAATGACCCATAATAATTGAGGATGCCGACGCAGGATTTCGGCAGCCTCAATACGCGCGTCCTCCAAAAACTGCGGCAGTTGCAATTAAGCAACAATTGCAACTGCTGAGCAGTGCAGTGGCCCACTTGAGACGGGATATAACCCGTCGTCCAGCGGACCACTGCGGAGTTCACCTAAATCATTAACGCATAGCGTTACGCTGTCGGCGCGCACAGTCACTCAATCTGTAAGTAACACGTAAATATAGTGTATGTGTTAAACAAGATACTGTGCATCAATTCTACAACCACTCAAACCGAGTCCTTCCCACGTTACACCCCACCCACGGTGTAACATTCTTATAAAATTAAAAAAATATATAAAAATATAAAAAGCAAAAAAATCATAACACTTATTGCTAGAAAGTAGTTATGTAAAATAAATATTATAAAAGAAAAATATGGAAATAAATATTTTTATTTTGTTATTTCCTGCTTCAGCAAGTAGTGAATTTCTATTTCATGTGTCACTACAAAGTATTAAATTTTTTCAACCATGTTGCTGATTGTATGAATCATTTTTTAAAAATATGTAATGTTTAAAAATAAATTAAAACAATTTATTTTATTTGTTAGGTACGCAAAATATTGCAAAAATAGATTTGTTTTTATTGTTATTTCCTGTTAAATGCAAAAATGCGAGCAGAATTTGATGCGTAAAGAATTGAGCGCATAAACGAGTACGGATGATGTACGTGTAGAGGCATTTATAATTATTTCTTGAAAATGATACTTTGGAAAATAATTTTATTACGTATCTTTGAAATCGTCTTAAAATAACCTTTAATTTGGTAAAACAAAAATTAAAAAAATTAAAAAAAGGATCCTTCACAAAACTAGTGCAAATTAGCTTTCGGTGGAATCGGCTGAATTTTTAGTATGTTGAACATGTTGACACCCTGAACAAAAGTCTCCATAGGCACAACTACCAAAAATGGCTAATTTTTGAGATATAATTTATCAAAACTAGTCAATTTTTGTCATTTATGGAAGAAAATGTAACACACATTTTGTACGAGCGCGTGTATGTGTGTGTTATGTGTTTGTGTTTTTATGTGTGTATGTACATGTGTTTGTATACCGCAAGGATAAGAACTCCATTGTCATTTAGTGCGCCTATATCTATATACACACTCACGCACGCACGCACGCACGCGTGCGCGTATGCAATAAGATTCAATTCAAAGTGTTATCTTAATGCTTTTTATCGAACTCAATAATTTTTCGATAAGTTATTCTAAATTTAATTAAAAATCAGATTTTTTCCAAAATTGTATGATACAGCGAAAAATGATCGTATCAAGGTCAGCCAAAAAGATAACACTTCATACTTTTATGTGCATTTTGTTTCATTAAGCTGTGATTCACGTCGTGCATTGTCGCAAACTCGGACCTCTGATTATTAATTTTGCATCTTCTTATTTATTATTTTTATCATTTTCAGGGAAGAGGGCTATATCAATTAACGCCAGAATGTTACTGCTGCCTAGGAAGATCTATTGTAAATTTGCTTACTCAGATTAAAGCAGATTGAGATTTTTGACAAATCTTATGACCTGCCTAGGATCCTTCTTCCTAATTTCTTCTGCAGTTAAGATCGCTTCTTTCTTTTTTCTCGCCTAGTTCTTTGAGCCTAAGTCGACAGACAGCTGAGCAATTGCACAGAATGTGCTCTGTGTCTCAGCCATCTTGTTACAGATACGACAAGTATCGTCTTCAGCCTTACCAATTTTGCACATATAATAGTTTAGCCGACAGTGGCCTGAGTATAGGCCCATTATAATGGCTAGGTCTCTTTTATCCAGGGGTAGAACAACTTTGGTCCTCCCTGACGAAATGGTTATAATCTTTTTCGCATGAGTTTATAGATGTTTTTCCAATTGGAGGCTTTAAGTTTCTCACTCCATTCCTGGATAAAACTTTTCAAGTGGCTTCTTGTGAGTCCACATCATAACTCTGGTCCGATGAGAAAGGCGCTAGCATCCTTTCTTGCGAGTTCGTCTGCCAGTTCGTTTCCTTTAATAACTTTGTTATCAGAAACCCACCAGAGTGTTGGTTTCCTTTAGCCAGTTACATGAGATTATTTGAGCATTCCCAGACTAATTTCGAGTCGCAATCATAGGCAGCTAATGCCCTTAGCGACTGACTGTATGTCAGAATGTTTATGGTTGCGTCTTTCATACATTTTTGTAGGTTCGTTGTGGCGCAAAGGTTTAAGGCGTATACCTCTGCTTGAAAAATAGTTAGAGTGTTGCTCATTAGAGAAGATATGCAGCAATTTGGTCCGCTAATACCTGTTCCTACTGAGCCCAATGTTTTTTTTTAGCCGTCCGTGAACCATTGTCGAGCTCTCTTCTTATAAGTAGGATCTCCTAAAATCTATTCCTCATAGTCCATGATTTTTACAATATATTTGTATCCTTAGGTGTTCTGTGAAGCTGGATGTGAAAGAATCCCGATTGGACACGATACGATTGGATACAGCCACTCACAGCGATCTAGAGGCTTTCTAGTTTCAAACGAGTGGCATTCACTTGGACACAGTTTAAATCGACACGTTGCAAATGGACACGTCTCAAATAGACATAACCTGCTAGACACGGTGCACATGCCCACCGTTCACTTGGACACCGCGCAAATGTCCACCGTTCACTTGGACACCACGCAAACGTCCACTGTTCACTTGGACACCGCGAAAATGCTCATTGTGCACTTAGACACGGCGAAAACGCCCACTGTGCACTTGGACACCGCGTAAACGCCCACCGTTTACTTGGACACCGCGCAAATGCCCACCGTTCACTTGCACACCGCGAAAACGCTCACTGTGCATTTGAACACCGCGCAAATGCTCACCGTTCACTTGGACACCGTGCAAATGCCCACTGCTCACTTGGACACTAAGATATGTCTGCTTAGAGTAATCGTTTAAGAAAACGTATTGTTACGCCCCCGGCTGAGCCGTCCCGTGTGCATGAAGCTTTAACTCGGAGTATTCGAGATGAGTTTCTCGGGAGACGAGATTCAACTGTCAAACGAACGTCATGCAGATTTGGAAGCTGTCGGACCCGACGGACGTATTCCGACTCGCTGTCACTTTGAAACGTTTCTCGTGTTTTTGTTCATAATAAAAGTGTTCCTTTCTGTTCATAAGTTCGTGTAAATTCATTTCCGCGCGGGAGTGCGTGAGTGAATGAGAGCGCGAGAGTGAAACCGCCGTGTGTGTAAACCTACAGAGAACTACCTACTTCAGAGAACATAACAGTATTATTTGTTTAAATATATAACAAAATAGAAAAAATAAAGAAAATACCGAAAAGTTTAGACAGATCCCCTACGCAAGGTAGAAAGTATATTAACCCTTAGCTGGCACCGTGGGTAATTTATTATCCCAAACCTACGTTGGAGGCAGTTTTGAAATATAAAAACCCTGAAAATGATACCTGTGGTACTATCTGTCGATGGTCGAGGGATGAAAGTTTCTCGTACGACACATAGCAGGAATATAAAATCATCAGTGGCGCTTCGGCACTCGACTGAAAAACACCAAGGTATTTTTTTATCCCACTGTGCTAGTAACCGCGATTTTGGTGTTTAAAAAAAATTTTTTTAGTGTTTTTTGTCGCGCATCAGGACATTATAAAAGGTAAGAAAATAACATGTTATTGGTGTAAAATTTTTTTTCAACTAAATTCCTCATTAGAACAATAATAAAAACGTGACGTTACGTCATTTGTGATGAATGCGGCGGTCAGTAACAAAAAATATATGCTAATATTAATTATTTTCTTGTTTATCTATATTCAAACAAACATTTCCATGCATTTAAAGTCATTTATAAACCCAAAAAAAACGTTTTGTATCAAACTTTTGTTCATATTTAAAATTTTTAATTTTTTTTATTTTTGTCACCGAAATTTTGCAAAATAAATATGTTTTTTTTTCAAAGACTGACTACGGCGTTGTTAATTCATCATTAAAATACATGTTTTAGAGATAAAACTAGAGTTTTAGCCCTTAAAAAAAAAGTTTTAAAATTACGGCCATTTTAATGAAAAAGGCGATTTTTCGTAGAATTTGGCATGAACAATTTTTTTGAGAGCTGCATGTGAATTTTGACCCTTGCCAACCTTGCTACCATAAAAAGGGTATGTTGATTAACACCTATGAATATTTTTGAAAGAAAATATTGCGTAGTTTGCTTCCTAGAGCGGTTTTTTTGGCTGGGGTAATTATTTACCCCAAGTGCCAGCTATGTTACCAAAGCGAAGTGTGCCAGCTAAGGGTTAAATTGAATATTTATTAAATGTTCGCTTTTCTAAACAAGTAGGAGCATTAAAGAACGTATTTTCTGTTTCTACAATAGATATTAGCTAAATAATAGGCGGGGGGGAGGGGCTCTGCACCCCCTCTCCTCTGCACCCCCTTCCCCGCCTGCGTCAGTGATGCCTATTGGGGGGGCTTCGCCCCTCCCAACCTCCCCTATTAGTATTATTTTTTTTGTTAATAACTTTTTTTCTATTTTGCATTAAACAAATAATACGTTTTTTTAAACGCTTACTCTAAGCAGACATATCTTTGTATCTAAATGAGTAGTGGACATTTGCGCGGTGTCCAAGTGAACGGTGAGCGTTTTCGCGGTGTCTAAGTGAACGGTGAGCATTTGCGCGGTGTCCAAGTGAACGGTGGGCATGTGCACCGTGTCTAACAGGCTGTGTCTATTTGAGCGTGTCCATTTGCAACGTGTCCATTTAAAGTATTTAAACTGTGTCCAAGTGAATGCCACTCGATATTTCAAGCTTTATTTTGCAATTTTATTATATTTTTATCTTCATTATTTATCAAGTTATGATTATTTGAAGTTTAATAAATTTTACCTAAATTTTTATTCTATAAATATATTATTATATTATTTTCTGTTTATCTCATTTTTTAAATGTATAAGTTACTTTATTATATTTTTTATATTTTGTAATAATTATAATTTAAATGAAAATATAATTTTATACTATATTTTAATTGCAGACACCGTTACATTAATAAAAAGAGTAATCACACATAATCATACTGCTCTTACTGTAGAGGAATATGCATCAATATCACTTCTCTCAGATTCTATTATCGTGAATTCCATCAGAGGTGAATCATCTGATTCTGAAATACAATGGTCTCATAATGGAATTTTTATTCAAAGCAATCAACATAGATTAGAGGTTAAAGATTATGAAATCAGTATGTATATAAAAGAATATTTATCCACTGTAATTAATTATTACGTAATAATATGCAAATTGATATAATTTTGTAAATTTTGTAGTAATAAATAGAGCAGTATTAAATGACTCGGGCGTATATACACTCACTGTACATCGAATAGATGGAACATATATGATAATTAAGGTGATAACTTTAGCAGTGATTCCGATTAAGGAAAGCATTACAATTCGCGAAACTTTATCCATGCACGTAGTATGCCATTGTGCTATCCTCGGTTATGTATATTCCGATTTGAAAGTGTATTGGATGATTAATGATAATGTATGGAAAGATTATGGAGTTACATTGCCCGTGGCAGTAAATGTTGATTATATTCCCATTGTAAATAAATCTCATCACGGTACATGGAAATGCATTGTGGAACAAACTGACTTAAATTTTAAATGGATAACAAATATAATCCGTGTGAAAGGTATGAAATAATATAAATATTTCTTTAAGTATCACAATAGTTTCATATATTCAAGTTCAATAAAAATCTTTTTATTAAAGTACTAGTGTATATAATCTGCCAGAAATAAAATAATTTTTTATAAAAAATAAGTTAAAAGTAAATAATAAAATATTTTTATACAATTTTTATTTTTAGAAAATATTTTCTTAAAAAAAAAGAAAAGAAAAGAATCAGAAAGTTAGCATATATCTTTCCATTTTTTCTAAATAACTTTTAAAATTTTTTTGTGCTAATACTTAGCAAACTTAAATTATTATAATTGTCACATTATTTTCCAAATGATAAAACATTGTCCATTTTCTAAAATAAAAATAATTTTGATAAAACTAAAAGTAATTTTAATATATAATTTTTCAAAATTGTTTATTCTATTTTAACTTTTGTTAAATAAAATATTACGTTCTTTTATTTATTATTATATTAATAATTATTTTCGAGAAGAATTTGACGACATAATATCGTTTAAATTAAAAAATATATTATTTATTTTTCGACAAAGGTTTTTTATTGGTAAAGATTGACAAAAGCGGATATAATTTTGATGGTATTGATGTATATTAAGGATATTTTCCTAAATAATAATTAAAGGGTTTTAGACATCGCTCGTTGTTTATTAAAAAGTTATGAACAAGTAAAGTTGACAATATAAAGATGTGATTCAATAATTTGAATTTTACCTAATACAAATATCATATTATTTGCATATTTGTATATAGAAGTAAATATGTGAGCGAAGCCCTTTGCTCCATTTGTCCTCCGCTTATGCATTTTGTAAAATTATAAACTTACATGATTTTTTAATACCTTATATTGAGATTTATAATTATGATTTTATAAGAAGATTTCCAACTTTCCATGAAAATGAAGAGTGTATCCATCCCACATCGTCCCTTGCTTACAGTATACGAAACAAGGTTTATATGTATACATATCTACATATCTTGTAAATTTATTGTATATATTGAGTAAATATTTTTTCAACATAATTTATTTTTTTGCGTAATTAGTAGGTATAAGTTTATTATGTCTTCTTTTCTTCCTCTACTTTTCCACAATTGAAAATTAACCAATTTTCAATCTCTAATTGTAAACTCTTTTTAACGAATAACAAGCTGGATTTGCTTTTGTCAATATTTATCCTAGAAATGGCTTACATGTATATACGGATATTCACATATGCACGTGCCTGTTGAAGTGTTCAGTAACTATGGTCAATAAATATATTTATTAAGCATGATACTATCACAATTTTAATATTTTTTTATCAAACCAATTATGGAAAATTATTTTATTTTTTGTAGAAAATATTGTTCTCTTTACCACATATTTTTATTATTGAACGTTATATTGTGCACTATTTAATATTTATTTTTATCAATATAAGTACTTGAACCTCCAAATTGGCGTACTTATTTAATGGAAGATAAACTAACTCGACCAATTTTTGGATGGATGCCAAGTGAAAAATTTGTCGCTTATTCAGCGTTGGCTATAATTCTATTTTTTATATGCTGCATTTTAATAGGTCTCGTACTTTATTTCAGGTAAGGTACTTTATTTTAGTAATAGGTTTAATTATATATATAATAATTTATGTATTGATAAACGTTATGGAATATCAATATTCTAATTTTATTTATTAAATTTTCATATCTATTTAAATATACAAATATTTTGTAATTTTATGTTTAAGGACTAATATAAAATCATCAGAAATATCTCTCTAATTGTATAGAATGTGGATGAATTGTTGTACAGAAGTAAAAATATAAGATACATATACATATATATGTTTTCTTGCACATTTAATAGTTCGAACAATTCTTTGAAATCAATATAGTTGATTTCAATTAAAAATTATCAAAATTTTATGTATATAAAAAGACGTTTTAGACAAAAATGATAATTTACTTTGTGTATACTTTACAGCTACATATTTATATATTTTTTAACAATATTACAATTTTTAATACATATATCCTAACGTTTATTATTATTTTTGCAGAATAGGATAATAATTTCTTATTAAAAACTTAAAAATTTTATTACAATAAAAATTCATAACTTTGACTTTTATGACAAATTCATAAATACATATTTATTACAATACTATTTTTCAATATTTTATGTTTAAAAAGAGAATAATAAACGCGCGCGCGCAAGTGCCACATTACATGCGTTTGTGGCGACATGTGGCAATAGTTTTTCATACCTATATATTTTAAAGCTGTAACGCTGTAAAGAGAACTAAATATTAAGATAGATGATTAAATATTAAGATAGAATAGATATTAATAATTATGAAATTAAATAAAATACAAAGGTTATGGTTAGCGCAGTAAGTGGTGCGCAATAAATAATTAATTTAAATACAAGCAATTTTTAATAGTACAATTACATAGTAGCTTAATAGGATAAAATTCATAGATATACAGGGTGTCCCGTAATGACCGGACCAACGCTTAAGGGTAGATTCCTGAGATCATTTTAAGACAAAAGTTTCAATACCAAAATGTTGAGGCTATAATGTAGTTTTTGAACTATAAGTGTTTAAAGTTAACTAATCAGATCGTCTAAAGTTGGCGCGCTCAGGTACGGCATAACGCAACGCCTAAAAACAAAAGCTGACTTATCGCCCCTTTTATTAATATCGATATAAGAATTACATATGTGAATATAAGATTATTGATATTTCTGCAAACACATTGCGCAATAACATTGTATGTACAATAATATTTTGTTTTTTATAATAACACTTTTTGTCTTTACATAATACATAAAGCGCAAACTGTCAGATGACATTTCATTCAAAAATCTGCTATCAATTGCATATCTTAAAAGCAAAACTGTAGTTTATCAAACGGTACGTAATTAG